CAAGATCACCCTGCACATCACCGATCCTTCAGACATGACCCGAGATTTGCTGAAGTCAGAGACGTGCGCCGTCATCATTCCAGAGCTGGAATTCGAGCTGGGAATGGCAGCCCTGGGTGGGAAGTTCACAACTCTTGAGGGCCTGCTGAAAGACATCAAAGACCTGACTGTCTCCAAAAACCCCTTCATCTGTGGGGACAGCAGCACTGCAGATCGGATACAGAAGCTGCGTGAGTTTGGAGAGAAAATAGACAAGATCATTGTAGGAGAACTCGATGTCCATGTCATCCTTGATGACCCTGCAGGGAACAGCTATTTACAGAATGTCTACGCTCCGGAGCCAGATCCCGAGATGACTGTTGAGAAGTACGCCCGCTCGTTTCAACAGAATGAAGAGCTGGGACTGAATGACATGAAGACTGAGAATTATGAAGAGAAAAATAATGTGCCAGCAGTACCTGGAGGGACTGAATGAGTTTATCTGTGCTAATTAATGTCCAAAAGAAATCCCAGTATAATTAAGTTGCTCCATATTTTCGGCCACTTTGACTCATTTTAAGTTAAACACTGGGTGAATACTCCCTTTCATTGCTATGTTGATCAATGAGAAGAATTCCACATTTTCTAAATGTACTTTAAAAATAAAAGGCATATAATAAGTTGTATAATAACACATTAAAATGCTGTTGTTAATCATACATCCTTGATGACTTAGTGCATTCTTGTGAAATCCCTGAAGATGGCACTGCATTTACTCAGATTAAAGTGATGTTTTCCTTTTAGTGGGCCACTTTCTGTGTGACAAATGTATTTATTTTGACACCTGTAAGTGTGCCAAATACTGGTATTTAATTGGCAGTTTGGCTCTGCTCTTTGATTTGGCAGATTTGACTCTGAAAGCTGAATTTTACTTTTTGTCATTGCCTTGAGTCTGAAATACAAATTCTCACTTCACTCATTTTTTGGTAGTGTTCTCAATTTATTGTACCTTGAACACAACATTTTAAACTTATTTGTTTAGAGATTATCAATATTTATTTTTTTACAGCGTAAAATATCCTATTCGCCCAGTATTAACTGACATGGAAGAAACTGCAGCAAATTTCTAATTTCAAAGGTTGAATTGGAGTGTTTATGTTTGATTAAGAAATCAATTTGAACTGAAGAGCGATTAGTTGTCTATAAACCAATTAAATTACCTTACATCTAATTAATACTGAATAAAATTACTACCTTGGTAAGAAAGTGTCTTATTTTCATACACCTTTTTAAGCCTAGTTGTAGACCCCAAAACTTGTTTCACTGATTTCTCTTTTTTTTTTTAATTGTTTAAATAAAGTGTTTTTAACCCTCTAAACCAGTTTCCTACACGTGATTCAACCCAGTCCCGTTTTTAAAGAAATAAATACAGGACTGGGTTGAATCACGTGTAGGAAACTGGGTTAGAGGGTTATAAAAACACTGTACATGCAGATTGAAACCCAAGTGCTGTACGACCACATGTAACCAGTTTTTGTTACATTACCACATCTGCACAGGCCCGTTTGACTTAAATATTGTTCTTCTTGCCTCCACTATGAACCATTTTATCTAGTTTTCATAGCAACAGGGATCCATTGTGTTCTACTAATAGAGTTGTGAGTTCCTAGATTATGTGGTTCTTGAGTGAGCAGCTGTTAGCTGATGGAAATAGCTGCCAGACAGTGGGCCCCTGTATCCTGAGCTCAGACAGCAGAGCAGAGTGGCTTTGTGCCCACTGTGTTATTACTGTAAAAAAACAGATCCAATATGTAAAAACATATGTGTTGGTATTACTTTGTCTTTTACTGTTGACTATATAATCTGATGCACCTCATGACAGTTAAACTAGCTCTGAGGAAGTTAGATGCGGGGTTCCACAGTCATTAATTTTTCAAGAGAATTGTATTTTAATAAATTCACCTACCTCATTGGCAGTGTAATATGGGTATGTGTAAAGAATCAATATAAATTCAGATATAAACCCAGAGGAATTTGATATACAATGTTTTGGTTTTTTAAAGCAGTTCCGGGTTTGAAACTACAAGAAAGTCTAAAGCATCTCAGAATAATTAAAATACTCTCAAATTCATCACCACTATATCTGATTCAGATAAGACAAAGTCGTATGCGTTCTGACACAGTAGAATAAGACTGATACTGTGCATCAGAGGACCTTTTCTATGGACCCATGCTTTGATGAGGGAAAGTTAACACTGCAGATCTGAAGGTGACTGTGAACCACAGGTCATTCCTTAATAAGATATTAAATGGACTGCTATCATGTGACTTCTTTTGATTGTCCTAAGCTGTTAGCACTGCTGCCAAATACCAGTATGCTTTGTTTGCTTTGTGACATGGCTTCATGGAAGTTGCAGCCCCTTTGCGTATTGGGGCCAAGGGCTAAATAAGAGACTGGGTTGACCCTGCAGCTGCTCCAGCCACTCAGTTCTGCCCTACCCACACCGGGCCAGCAGTGGGTCATAGCAGCGCCCTAAAAAACAAAACAGTGAGACTTGATGTTCTTCTTCAGTCTCCTGCACAATTTACATGGAAGCAATCCTGTTGAGCAGCGCTGCCCAAGATCCTTGAGGTGTTTTCAAGAAGTAAAGTTATATTTTATTATAAGAATCCAGCTTTTATCATATTTTGACAGTTTTACTCAACTTTCTAATACAAAATATAAGTAATGTTGCTGTAAATTGTGTATGGTTGTAATTCAAAATGAGAGTGTCTTTAAGCCACCAAAACCACAAGTCATTCACTTTGGTGTGATGTGGAGGCTCAGGTCTCCTAAGCACATACTAAAACACCATGTTTGACTTATACTCTCATAGTCTAATTTGACCATGACAAACTTCAAAGTGCCCTCTCTTACCCACAGAGGGGGCAGCTGAGGCGATTGTCAATAGTCCGACCTCTCAAGCAGCGGGCACAAAAGATGTGGTAGCAGTCCAATAAACATGGGGACTGGTACTGCTCATGGCACAGGTGACACATCAAGGGGTGAACATTAGCACAATCCACTTTACACAGACTGCCCAAGTTGTTGAAGATTCCTCCTGCCATCTGGGAACAGAGTACACGAATAACAACAATCCTTTAGTTTGTTCTTGGAACAGCCTTTTTTTAAGACTACAAAATCACATTACTTTAAAAAGCTTTCGATAGTGCTGTGATACTGAATTACACCCCAGAGACCAGGCCAAGAGTGATAATGAAACACTTTGATCATGAATAATTAAACAAGGACAACATTTATCGCTTACCTTGTCAGACAAGTAATACCAGCCTGTAAATTCGGTGACTATGCACAATCCACAGATCATAAATATATAACATAAAAATAGGATGTCATCACTAACATTATATCCACTATCAAACTAAACTTACTGTAAATGTAGTAGGCCGGTCTGTGGAAAGCACAGAGTGGCTCTGTCTTACCTTTTAGTGGTGCTATCAGCTACCCACAGCAGGAATGACAGCAATGCAGAAACTCTTCAATAGTAGGGCGATAGGCTCTGTCTGCCAGGCAGCTGACAGCACACACACACCTCATGCCAGCCCCCACGTGTTGCCAAAGTGCAAAAGGGAAATTTAATATTGCCATCCCACACAGACTGTAACAACAGTTGTCCTATTTCTAATGTCCTCCTGCTCAATCCCACGTGTTCATCTGGAATATGTACATATATTTATACAACCTACTCATTCACATGTAATCTGTAGACTCAAGTAAAGTGCATTATTCCAAGGCCACATGTTTATATGTATATGTATGTAGTTAGGTAGGTAGGTAGGTAGGTGTAGGTAGGTAGGTAGGTAGGTAGGTAGGTAGGTAGGTAGATAGATAGATAGATAGATAGATAGATAGATAGATAGATACATACATACATACATACATACATACATACATACATACATACATACATACAAATTCTCAGTTCTATCGAGAGTTTGTTTGGGGGGTTTTTTAAGGTTTTTTTTAGTAATACTGTTAGTTTATTGCACTGTACCTTGAATACAGTCTTTTAAACTTTTTTGTTGCCAAAATATTATTATTGTTATTATTTTTATTTTATTTTTTTTTGCAGTGAAATATATCGTATAAATAACTTGTTTTATTGGTTCAAAATGTAACGTATGTACACACACACACACACACATACACATGTCAGTCTGTCTTTTATATAGATTTTATGAACCATATGACAGAGTATAATGACAAAAACACATAAAAAAATTGTAATATGTAATCACAATAATTGTAATGTCTTCTAGCACCTTTGAAGGTATATTGATAACCTGCATAACACTATTACAATATTATTACTATTTCTAATGTAATAATAATAATGGTAGAATATCTTTTATTATTTTCTTTTATAATTCATAATGCTAGTTAGGTTATTACATATGTGTTTGATGTTATTCAACTTTTCTAAAAAAAAAAAATTATGTTTCCCTTTTAAAACCTACTACATAATACAAAAACTACATACTTAACCAGCACCTAATAGGAAGCTGTGTAGCTAAGTGCTAGGAGGGTAACGTCTCGCAGCCATCTTGAAATGCACTTTTCTGGGCAGTTAAAAAAAAAATCATAATCAAAGAATTTTTTAAAAAGAAATATAGTATTATTATTTTTTACTTGGCCCAACATCAAGGTTTTAAAACGCCCATTAAATCTGTTATACTTTAAACATTTTAGCCACGTTTCTGCTGATCCGGGAATTTTATAGTTGTAAGTGCAATAATCTCTCTCTATGTCTGGTTCCACTCCAGCTGACAAACTACTGAACACTGAACAAAGTTAACATTTGTTGCAACTTTAAGTGGCATTAACAATTTCTCGTACCTTCTTTTTTCTATGTAGTGCGACATAATCGAGTCTAGAAAAGTCGATGCGATCGATTTTGCGGCCGGCTCTTATATTTCCCGTGCAGCCTTTGCTCCTTCCCTTTTCGCTGAATTCTTCAGCCATGGCTCCGATTGTGAGTAGTAGCCCGACCAAATAAAAGTGCACACAGGCCACTTATTTTAGCTTGTCTTTCCATTTATAGACGTGTATATACGTGTGCACAGTAATATAGAAGAAACGAGTGTTCACGTGCGATTTTGTTTGCCTTTTTTAACGTTTCGTCTCAAACCACGTTTTGCTAACTGTTAGCGCAAGCTAGCAGCGATCGACGTGAGGGTTAACAGGGTGCACGTAAACAGTTGTTCGTGGTTTTTGCAACATTCTTTTACGATATTTACTTGAAATGCTAGTATAAAATGTCTGGAACATATTGAACACGCTGTGACTAACCGCTAATAAAGATATCTGAACACTATTGTTGCTTCCTTACGCTTCGCTTTGGGGGTTTTCCGAGTTTAAGCAACTTTCTCCATTTGTGTTAGAAGAGGCAGGTGGTTAAGAAGCCGGGTGGGAAGAAGAAGAAGCAGATCCTGAAGTTCACCCTGGACTGCACCCACCCTGTTGAGGATGGCATCATGGATGCTGCCAACTTCGTGAGTAGATCACCTCTGACAGAAATGACATCTTGTCTGGTAATCAGTGTAGCAGCTGTCAGACACAAATGCTCTGTGTCAGACACTACTGTCAAATAAGGGGCATCAATCAAAGCCCTGTATTAAGGATCCAGTCAGTTGATATTAAAAGAAAAGAGAGAGGGGAAAAAAAGACAGATGTCAGTCATATGTTTATAAGAAACTCTGATCTGTAGTTCATAAAGAGGCCTTCATTTCTGGTGCTTGCTGTGTGTGACTTGCTGTGTCCTCTGCACATGCAGGAGCAGTTCCTGCAGGAGCGTATCAAGGTGAACGGAAAAGCTGGAAATCTTGGTGGTGGTGTGGTGTCCATTGAGAGGAGCAAGAGTAAAATTGCTGTGAACTCTGAAGTTCCCTTCTCAAAGAGGTAAATAAAAGGAAAAACAGTGCAACTATGCCATATTGTATTATTTAACTGGTCATAGTCATTTGCCATCATACCAGCAATCCTCAGTAAATACTGTGCACAGTGCTTGCTTCAATGTCTAAAAAGACAAATGTTAAGTTTTTAAGAAAATCTCTGTTGTTTGTGTGGAATAGAGAAGTATGCAGAATCCTGTTGAATGTAATATTGAGGGAAATGAAACACATTTGACATTTCAGCCCCAGTAATATTTTAATAGACTTAATGAACAGACATGAGAAGACTCCAAACAAATATGGCTGTGTTTGGTTGTCACTTTAACAGTGGTTGCAAAATTTTACTGATACTCAGCCTGAATGTGTCTTCTGACTGATCATGCTGTCTTTGTGGTTTCCCACTTATTTGAGAGCTTGTGATCTGATTTTTTTTCCAGTTCCAGCGCAAGTACATTTATCCAGTATTACATGACCTGGTTTCACACAAGTGTGGCAATAAATACTCTGGACAGATACACCACTAGAGCGTATCTACCTTATGTGAGAAGCCAAGAAATCTCATAAAAATGCTTAAAAAAAACAAAAGATTTTTAGGGATCAGATAAGTTCATCATTGCTTGCCACATTGTGCAACAAGGTCCTGCTGCACCCTAATGTGGGCATAACATCAAGTTTGATGTGTGTAGACATAACAATAAAAAATGACTGAATCGTAGGCTATGACACACAACTATGGTCTCTTCCTATGGTGTGTCATCTTTAATGTGTACTCGTGCTGCCCCAACTGCACAGTATTTTCTTCTATGCTTGAATTCATTACCTTTTTCACAAGTTTTACTGCCACATTTTTCTTTTGTGTGTGAAATTGTCATTGATCAGTGCCTAATTTCATGCTGCATTCCTGTTGGTTGATTTAACAAAACAAAAAAAGGTAGGTTGTAGCATAAATTTTGTAAGGTCAGTACTCACTAGGGTGTTGTGTGTCAGGTGCGGGAGGCAAAGTATAGTATTTATTATTTGACCATACTGTCTACATACTGTGTCTACAGTACTAAGAAAATACAAATACCATTGTGTATTTAGAATGTCGGCATTGAAAGGTACCATAAGTATCGGTTCTGGTGACATGTGCCTAGTGTGGAAGTCTCGTCCTCTGGCAGTCAGTTCTGAAGAAACATCCCTGCTGCTTAAAGGTTCTTCTGTGAACACATGAAGCAGTCGAATCATATAATGAGAGTTTCAGAATTATTGTATTAATTGTGGATTTGTCTGAAGTTTTGTGAATATTTAGAAAAACCAAAACTAATATCTTAAAGTGAGATCTATTTCAATTTCGATTCAGATTTATTTATATAGCGCCAAATTACAACAACAGTTGCCTCAAGCACCTTCGAAACACAGATGTTACTGTGAAGTGTAGTACTTAATGTAACTGATTAGAGTGGCACAGCCAAAATGGTTATCTTATCTTGTTATATATATTTATTAGGCTGTAGCCACCACTTAATAATGATGCTAATTTTCTATTTGGACAATAAACAGTATTAACTGTATAATAACCTAGATATAATAATGGCATGTGTATTATACATCTGATCATTAAAGTACTTGAACTCATTTTTAAAACCGGCTGTACCAAAGTTGCAAAACATACACATGTCCACCTAATCTACATCTTTTAAATGTTGGGTTACGTTGGCCTGTGTGTATTTCTGGATCTTTCCCTAACCACCTTAATGTCCACTTCATACTGTAATTGTTCAGTAAATTTTAAACACCACCACCAGAGGGGGACTGTGGCACTCTCAGTCTTAAATGAAGCATTTGGTATAACCAGTGTAGGTCTCCTAGGTTAGAGCTGATGCTAAAGCAAATTAATTTTGTGATCCCACTTTTCTGCTGGTCACTGTTATGGCAAAAACCGCACAGAGCTGGTTTTTTTTGTGCATCTGGGCTACTGAGAAGTTTTAACTGTTGTATGCCATGTTTAACAATTTCTACACCTTCATATAAATGTAGAAAAACAGCAGGATTTTGCTGCTTTACGGTACATAAATTGTGAAATTTAAGGGCAGATCGACTCACACTCTTCTGCTCTCTGCTTCCATTTTCAGGTACTTGAAGTATCTTACCAAGAAGTATCTGAAAAAGAACAACCTCAGGGACTGGCTGCGGGTGGTAGCTAACACCAAGGAGAGCTACGAGCTGCGCTACTTCCAGATCAACCAGGATGAGGAGGAAGAGGACGAAGATTAAACCTTACGCCACTCTTAATAAAATACTTTGAGAGAAAACCCTTCATGGTCTTGTTTTATTTGGAAACATTTGGTTTGAGTATGTTATCTGGATCCCACACAGACGATAAAAACAGAGATAAGAACATGTGACTGTGCACTCTGATTTCATTTAGCGTTTTTCTTGCTATTTAGATGCATGATGACAATTTTGCATGTGTAAATTGCATATAAACCTGACATTTTTAGATTTAGGAATGTTTTCTGGTTCTTTATTCTGATGTGGGATGGTGCTTTTTTTTGTCACCTGGTTACAAAAATGTTTATTTGCATTGTGTGATTTGCCCCCACCCCCCTAAAATCCTGCAGGATGTGGGATGAGCTGGAACTCTCAGCCTTTCATTTGTATATTTTGATAAAAGATAAAGTGACGCTGAAGCTGATACTTCCTCTGCTCAGCTCTCTGTGGGGCATCCTGTGATACAGCTGTGGTAACCTTGACAACAGTTAGACCACTGGCAGTCAGGACTCCTCACAGCTTGCAGTCATCAGCCTGCACTTGTGTGTGCTTTGTCAGGACAGTGTGGTCGCTTGCAAGATGAAATCGAGTCGGGTGATAGTTAGTTGGGGGTTTTATGCCTTAATTGACGTCCAAATCAACCAAAACGTCCGTTTACACAAACGGTTTGGCTTCAAAATAGAAAGCAATGCTGTGTTTCCACCTGCAGACACACTTTGGAGTGGAGCTTGTGAGTGAATAGAGGAGCAGCTGTGCGAGAAAGTGGGAGAAGTTTCTGTCTCAATTCTCCGGACTTCCAAAAGGAAATGGACAGGCGCGGGGAGTGCATCCGTCTATTAGCAGCACACGGCGGTCGATGTGCATTTTTTTTGCACGCTACTAGTTGAAGTGGTAACTAGGAGAGTATGACTAACTAGTTGTGGGTGAAATTATGGGATGCATCGTCATGGCAACAGACCAGACGTCACAATCTGGGCATGTGTGTTCCATTTTTGTCTTTCTTATTTTTCAGACTGGAAGACCTGGATAGAGATCATTGGAATATATATATATTTTTTAAAAAATATTTTTTTTTTATTTTACTCGTGGAGAGAAAGCCCCATGTTCGTTGCACAGAAATAAAAAAAAATCTTACATTTTTCACAGCGACGAATACTATTCTTTTTGGGTGAAGAAAGAGACTGTGCTGCGGCGTCTGGAGGGTTAACTTTCAGTATTCCCAGCCTAAAAGGGGTTTGGGGGCTATGAGATAAAGATGCCGGGGTCGCTGAGCAATGAAGACGAGGGACAAGACGACATGGATTTTGAAGACGATATACCAGGTGAGGGAAAGGGGAGAGGCGGGGTGTCCTTCAGATAATTTTGCGCCGCTACGCCTTGAATGCGGGGAAAAGGGCTTGTCCTGCGTTCCTGAGACCGGAGAGGAGGGGTGGGGTGCAATAAGCAGAGTCATGCTATTATTTTTTTTTTTTGTACGACCTGCAGTCTTAAAGGTGGCAAAGGGTTGTAGTTTTTTTTTAAAATCTCTCCCCCCCACAGCTGTCCTCACATTCATCCTGATTTGAGGGCACGATGGAAACGCTGCTGCATGGTTTCTGTGGGCTGCCTTTTCTTTCACAGACTGCATGCGTGTACAAGTGAAGGGCTTTGAGTCCAAACACAAGTTTTGTTCAGAGAGCTGTTACAAAAAACCCGTACTTTGTTCGTTTCCGTGTCAGTGTGTCCATTGGCGATTTTCTGTCCCTTTTTAGCTCGTGGATGTGCTCTTTTGTGGAAAAAAAAGAAGGGGGGCTCCGGTGACAATGTGCGTGTTCATTTTGTTGTGGATGATGCGCTGCCGTTAGCGCTAGTGATTAGGAAGCTGTTTCAACTTTAATTCTTTTTTCTCCCACTGCATGGCCGCAGAGGTGTGAAAGCCACGTGTGGGCTACAGTAAACAGAGCTTATCAAGTGTGCTCCTTTGCCTTGGACGCTGATGACACCGGTTAGGTCACCGGCAGCCCTTCAGCTCTGGGTCGTGCGCGAACTGGAATTAACTCTAACCCACATTCTCTGCGTGCTGCTAATTCATTTCACATAGCAAGTTCATACAGGAGAACCTATGCAATAAAATTCTCCAGGCTGAAAAATGAACATGTCATCGACTCTGGCAGTGAACCAGCTTTCAGTGCTCCTACAGTTTCCTCCTTTAAAAAAATGGTCAAGATCAAATCAAGTCACAGGGGGTTTTAAGATTCCCTAATTAATGACCATGCACAATAAGATACTTGCCAAATTTTGGCCATTTTGTTTTCTTTTGGCTGGTAAGTTTGTTAGACTTTCTGGCAGGTGTCAATCCTAGGGCACAGGGGAATCCCAGTCTTAGTTTTTTGGCAGGCATGGCTGTGGTTACTTGTGACATTTACTCAAATTGCTAACTGTGTGGTCCATAATGTACAGCAGGCATCATCAGAATCTTCATCTGCGCAACACAAACCCAGTTCTGAACTGCTAATGATTGGTTTCTTGATCTAGTGATGCAGCAGCTCAGGTGATGAAGTGCCCTCTTGTTGCAGCCTGCTGAGCTGAATATCCAGACATAAGATTGTCCCGTGCAGCCAATGAAGTTCCTTTTATTTTAAAGTTCTTATAGCTTGCTCCAAACATCAGATGGTTGATGTCAAGGGCATGATTTAAAAAGTCCTGCTTTGCCCTCTGCTTCACTTTCACATGTGGAAAATGTTTGTGGTTGTAAAATACACTCCAAAGCCAAAAACAAAAGTCAGAAAGGTCGGAAAGTAAGAGCCCTGCTTTGGATCAGAGAGCTAGTTTCAGCGAAGTCAAATAACCCCAAAAAAATGAGGTCAGCTGACTCCCTCAATATACTGAACGACCAGGTTTTTCCATCAGTGGTTTTTGTTCTTCCCTGATAACAAAGACATTTTCCTGGATGGCAGTACCAGGATTCATTGGGTTAAAACATGAAAGAGCGATTCAATGAGCACGAGACATCATTTTCCAACAGGGACTGGCCACCGCAGAGTACAGACTTTAACCCCTCTAAGAATCTTTGGGATTTGCTAGAGAAGATTTAGCAGACTGTCAAGCCCATCGCCAATACAAGGCATGAAAGTAACACAGCTCTAGGTGGAAATAGGTGTTGTGACATTGCATAAGCTTATTGAAATGATGCCTTGATGAATGCTGGCCATGATCAAATGAAATATGTGAGTGTGTGACTGCTTTTTATTGGCAGATCAGTGTAGATTCAGCATGAAATGAAGCTTCTAAAATCCAATGCAATGTTTTCTCTAGCAGCAGGCCCTCCTCATCTTAAGTGTTGCTCAAATAATGCAGTGATGTGGAGTATAGAATACATGTGAAAGAAGGCACAAGAAGTTTTATTTATTGAACATCTTGCTGGTGTGTCTGTTGCATTGGTATTAGGTATTGCTCGTTACGGAGTGACGAAAAGTCATTTACTGGGACACTACTTCGGTGGTTTAATTGTGAGCAGTTGTCACAGTACTGAGTTGCCAAATTGCAATCCTTGCTCATTTCGCATGTGTGTTATAAAGCTCTTGAACATCTGAGGCTTTGAAGTGCTGTCACAAAAAATGAGGTAGAATGCATACAATTACGAAATTCAAGGGTACCACTGGTTACCATTTCTTAGACAGAAAAAGGTAATATACGCCACAATATTCAAAAATTACCTCTGCGTTTAACACAAGGTCTGAGTATTGTGATATCTGCATTTTTGAGAAAATCTTTTGCATTAAACACACATTTCTTTTGTTTATATACATATTTTTTGACGAGGGTAATTTGAACTTGCTAGTTTTTATGTGCATTTATGTGCATCTTAGCAGTAAGCAAGTGAAAAAGGAGGCAGACAAAGAGAACGGAGAGTCAGAGGGGGAGTTAGAGCAACATCTGTGACTGCCATCCATATTTAGAGGGAGAATACAGGCACTGATGTGTGTCCTCAGTAACGCATTAGTTTGTTAAACATGTATAAGAAAGGAAGGCTGCAGCTGAATATGGCAGGTGAGTGAATATATGTCAGTATTAATTAAGTCTAAAAAATGAAGAATGTGTTTAAATTGCGTAAATATGCTTTGATGGGATTTTTGTAGTCATGTGTTTCAGGCTTCAAAAAAAAAATTCTTGTAATATAATAAATACCAGTGTGATCCTCTATGATGACGCACAATGTACCTACTCGAGGGTAAATCTAGTGAAACTCCGACACAGTGGTCCATATTGGTTTTGTCATCATGAAATTGTTCACAAAAGGGAGTCAGTCTTTCTAGTCTGAAAATATGACTGTTTTATTGGAATAACTTTCTTTTAATTTGTCATATCACGCACTCATCACAACAAAATGCTGCGGATCAATTGTTATGCTGCTGATACACGAAGTACTTTCCAGACAGTTTATGACCTCATCAGCAGGCTTCAAAGTGATAGACAAGGTCAGAAATCCAGGTCAGAGTTTTCTACCATGAAGACACTTCAGTGCAATTAAAACACAACAGTGTGGGAGCACATTGTGTGGGGACTTCAGACCCCAAAATGCTATCCTATCACAGTCTTTATTTGTTGTGCCACGTAGTGTCCTAAGTCCCTTTGTTTCACTCTGGGCACTTACACTGTCACAGATTGTTCCATTGTGTTTTCTGTTTTAATTGCTTTGTTCTTCCATAAAATTGAAAGATTATCATGGGCTTTTGTGTGCCTACAAATGTTATCCCCAGTTGGAAAAGGGGCTATTTTTGGATCCCTTACTGTGAAAGTTGACACAGTTTTTTTTCTTAATGTGTGTGTATGTAGCCTAAGCATAAAAAAACATGCTTTTAAATATATTTTTGCAAATGAGTGGAACATCATTTCTTATCTGTTTCCTACCTGTTTATATGGGATGTGCTATGACCTTAGAATAGATATACTACAATTTAATGATGCTATTTAGGCTTTATCCTTCCATCACTTAGATGATAACATTTTCTAATAATAGCCTA